ACAACAACAAGCCTTTATTAAGGACATTCGCCCATACAGATTTCTCCCAGACGTGTAAACAGAAGTAACATAACAGCTATCTACATAAAATGGAGATTAAGATCGAACTTTCTACAGGTTGAATCCATCATCTTTGCTACGTCTATTGTCTGTGCTGTTCTCCACACACCTCCACAACAACAGGTCTTTATTAAGGACATTCGCCCATACAGGATTCTCCCAGACCGGTAAACAGAAGTAACATGACAGTTATCTACATAAAATAAAGATTAAGATCGAACTTTCTTCAAGTTGCATCCATCATCTGTGTTACCTATACTGTCTATGCTGTTCTCCAAAATCTGTTAAAGCCAATGAATTGCGTCAAGACTTCAAATAAAAGCTCTTATTAAGGACACTCGTTCCATACAGAATTCTCCCATATGGGTAAACAGAAGTAAACATTACAGTTATCAACCTTTCTTCAAGTTACATTCATCCTCTTTGCTACGCCTATAGTCTGTGCTTTTCTCCAGAATTTGTGAAAGCCAATGCATTGCAACAAGATTTCAAATAACAACAACAAAAAGCCTTTATTGAGGACATCCGTCCCAAACAGGATTCTCCCAGACCGGTAAACAGAAGTAACATGACAGTTATCTACATAAAATAAAGATTAAGATCGAACTTTCTTCAAGTTGCATCCATCATCTGTGTTACCTATACTGTCTATGCTGTTCTCCAAAATCTGTTAAAGCCAATGAATTGCGTCAAGACTTCAAATAAAAGCTCTTATTAAGGACACTCGTTCCATACAGAATTCTCCCATATGGGTAAACAGAAGTAAACATTACAGTTATCAACCTTTCTTCAAGTTACATTCATCCTCTTTGCTACGCCTATTGTCTGTGCTGTTCTCCAGAATTTGTGAAAAGCCAGTGCATTTGAACAGGATTTGAAATACTTTAGTAAGAAAGGTCTTTGAAAAATCTCAAAGAAAACGGAGAAATGTTTATTTCAATACAACAATAAATAAGCTTTTTGTTTATACTTAGTTATCACGTGTAGTTTCAGTAAAAGTCACTGTATATCAAATATATTTCAGAGTTATTGTTTGAATCAGGATATACATGCTAATAGGTACAACTTTCTTAAGTTTTGTTCAAGAATGTATATGAAAAAGTATTTTGAAATAATTACCAAAAATGGTGGTCCCTCATCCTCATTTCCAGTTTATTTAACAAATCATGAGAAAAGTATTTCGACAGAATAATTAAAATACGACTTTTTAAATATTTTAAAGTCAAGTATCAATTAAATAGACGAATGAACAAGTTCCGTCCTGGACACGCTCGACTGGATGTTCAATCATCATTGTTAGGACTAATTATTCCATTGTCACTTAGAGAATTGGGAAACATCATAATGAAACGGCAAATCATTTAATGCAATAAAAAAATGAAACAATAATATTATTGAAAACCTTTAAGCACGAATGTTTCTTTTACACACACGCTTGAATGTTTACATTTTCTATATATAGATGGCGCGTTATTGCTTAGTATTAATAGTATATACATAGCTATTGTATCTACAATGTAGACAAACTACGTCTATGCTATCCGCTGTTTCAGCAAAGTTACTGAGACAGGCCCAACCCAGAAATCCAAATCCTCCTCTACGTGGTGGATGAGTGGAATAAACTGTAAGTTTTCGACAGTCATCACCCAAGATCGAATCCCGCATTGGGTACTATTTCTCCTAATTAAAAATTGCTCCATTGGTCCCTGATTCTTGTAAAAGTTCACCCACTAGTGAGTGAAAGTAAACAAGTAAAGCTCTTGGCACACTTGTAAATGCAAAAGTCGAATTGCGTTTTCTACATGTGTAGGCATATTTGGAGAAACAGCACAAGTAGGACACTGTCTTGTAGTACGGTGGGGACTTTGTGAGCTGCTACGGTAGCCGTGAAGGCCTGAAAGGAAATATATGGCTTACTAACGGGGCAATGGTATCCTTTCATTCCACAAGCACAAAGAATCGTTTAGACAAAAGACCACCATTGAAATAGACATTCCAACTTACAACTTGAAAGTAGACAATTAAAATAGTTTTAGTAAATTAAATTTAATTGCCATCTATCGTTGAAATTTCACACAAATAAATTTACTACTAGAAGAAGCTTATTGCCAGTAAATTTATTTGTGTAAAATAGTTTTATTAACATCTTTTTAATACATGCAAAAGTGCACAGTCTGCACTATTTTAAAACGATAATTATATATATATATATGTTGTTAATAAAAATATATTCTGTTGAATTTTGATTATATTGAGGATCATGCTATGTTAATGCAGTCGTGGTTAAAATCTTGAAAGTATATACTAAAAATAGTCTTGGTCAGTAATTGCTTTAATTGAACTAAAGGAATATACAAAAAACATAATTTGATAAAAGTACTGCCTGGCTTAAGGCGTAAGAATGAAAAAATGAAAAACTTATTTACATAATATACAAAAGGTTTGAGCCGGCCATCGAGAAACAACAACAATGGGTTTTTATTGGGAAAGCGTGACTTCTGGCGGTCGATTTAACAGAGTATTTGAATCTATGAAATATAATTTTAAATAAAATAATATTTTAATATAACATATATATATCTGATACTATATATATATATTTCTATAGAATGAATATGGCGCCTCTGCCATCGCTATATTGTTTGAATACTTAGATCGCGTGCTACGCCGTTGAGGATATGGTGATGGCGTGGTTCTCGAGATCAACTGGAGGTAGATTTGATGGCTTGTACTATTTAATCAGCGTGAACCTCACATGTTATCACATGCCAATAATGAGATAATCAAATTAAATATTCAACATGTCACAAAGTCCTTATTGATAAGTTAATATCCTTGTAGGGAGCAGAGAACTGAGAAAATAAATGGGTTTTGAAGAGAGAGATATTTATATAAGACATGGCACAAAAATTATTTACAAAAAAAAATCCATTTACCGTTGGTGACGTAAAAGAATCTTATGAAACGTTCCATTCACGAAGAAGATAACATCATCTCAACTTCTTGAAAGTTGGAAATACTTTGGTTTGGGGGTTCTGAAAATTGGGATTTAGATCTTCTTTAGTTTCTCTTTAGCAGGTCCCTAGTGGGGCCATTCTTTCCTATCTTGGGCTCTTCTCCTTATTTCTTCCTAGTTTATCCTTCCCACTTTGTCCGACAGTCCAATTCTTTTCCCTATCGTCCTTCCTTTCCATTCAGTTTTACGTTCCAGAAGTTTCCTTATCAATCCATTCCTTCTTAATATATGTTCCATTCAGATGAAGGCTCATAACTATAAAATTACAAAGTGGGATCATTAAATAGGTAGACAAGGCTGTATTTAGAAAAAATAATGAAAATCAGGCAATATGAACGTTGTAATGTTAATGTTGTTGTTGTCGTGTCCAATGAAGAACCTCAGATGTCTCCATGCATCTCTATCACAGCAGTCGCAATGTCCTCTATCTTGTGTGTGTAAAGCTCCTTCTTTGAGTCCATCTCAATTGTAATATTAATTTTCATAATTTAAGCTTTTAAATAATATACACTATGACCATGTCCTGAGTGCACGTGATTTGAATTTTATTTATACAGCGAAAGTTGCCAGAAAGTTCTTTAAAAAAAATCTTTTAAAAATAGCTAGTTTTAACGAGCAACGAATCGCAATTAAATTTTCTTTGAAACTCTGTAAAACAACTTCACAAACGAATGATTTAATTAAAGAGGCGTATGGAGATGAATCGTATAGCAGAGCAAAAGTTTTTAAATGGTACCCCAACTTTAAAAATGGAAGAACAGAAATATTTAACGAAGTTCGACCTAGTTGACCGTTCATAATCAAAAACCAGGTAAATATCGAACAAATCTTTTATGAGAAGACCCTGGAATGACAATCAGGGAGGTGAGCAGACAATTAAGAGATATCGTATAGGTTGGTGCAATCAATAATAAGTGAAGATTTGAATATGGTTGGAGTATCAGCTCGGTCTGTCTCTCAATTGTTAACAACAACAACAACAAAAAAAAAAAAACAAGAGTCTAGACTTTCAATTTGTGAAAAGATTTTAGAAAGCTACCAGAATAACCCAGAGATATGCTGAAACAAATAATTACAGGTGATGAGGCGACAGGACCTGAGTTTACGCGTATAACTCGAAGATCAAAACGCCAGTAAAGTCTTCTTCTTCTTTCTTATCTCCACTCAATCATATTAAGGTATCAAGCTTGTAAAGCTTGAGACTTTTGATGGTGTCTGCCGGGGAAGAGTAGAGCTCATCAATGGATGAGGCCAGTGAAGTAAATGGGTTGAACGAGGACAACACCCAGAAACCAAGCCCCAAATATCACAAGAAGAACAAAAATCAAAGATCTTACACAAAACTTTGTTAATTACCTTTTTGATTATAAAGATCTTATTAATTTTGAATTTACTAAATAAGGATCAATAATAACATAATACCTGGAGCGCAGAACACCAACTACTACCCACTCTCATCAACTGTAAAAATATCTCTGATATAAAGCTTAAAAAGAACTAATGACGATATGATTCATAAATACAACGACGGAATACTTTTTTAAGTGAAAAAAAGTCTGCAAATAACAAAATTTTTTAAATAACTAAATCATTCCCTTGAGGAGAGTGGCAGCTAGTCACTGAAACTTCGGAGAACTGAATAAAAAATGGTTGATGAAGCTATATATATTTTCTAAACAAACTTCCAATCAACAAATTATCTTTAAAACATTTTAGATGTGAAACAAAAAAATCTAAATATTTAATACTGTACTCTCAATCTCTATGTAACCATTAAGCTAAGAAAACATTGAAGGCTTATTGGCTGATTGGAGACATGTGATGGAAGTTAACCAATCATCGCGCGAATGAATATTCCAGACATATAAATATTAAAGCTTATATTATAGTTTCGTTTCCTGGCCCATGCAATTTTTTTTTGCCTACGGCCATATCACTTTGAAAACATTGGTTCTCGTTCGATCATAGAAGTTAAGCAATGTCGGTCAGTACTTGGGAGGGTGACCACCTGGGTGTGCTGTAAGCTATTATCTTTTTATCTTTAAAGAATGGGTATTTGGGGTCGAAAATTGCACACTTTGGTTAGTATCCCGTAAAACCATATTCTTATATTTTTGAAAATAGAGCAATCCATAAATAAATCTTTAATTAAAATGGCATATATTGGATCAAAATATCAATTATTTTACCAATATTTCAGTTGGCTGAACGCCAACCTTTATCAAGGTCTTATAACATATTTAATGTGTGTCAACAACAAACTCAACAAACAAACAACAAAAGTTTGTTGTTGACACACATTAAATATGTTATAACACCTTGATAAAGGTTGGCGTTCAGCCAACTGAAATATTGGTAAAATAAATTATATTTTGATCCAATATATGCCTTTTTAATTAAATATTCTTATATTATAGCAAACTAATTAATATAAGGTAATGTGTAAAAAGGATGATAATAATATGTAAAAAGGTCATCTTTCATTAAAATTTGCACATGATTTACCTCATTCTAAATAACTCATTACATATAATTATCATCTTTTGCAATTCTAAATCCTTCATCAAGCCTTCTTTTTTATCTTAACCCACGCAAGTGCGGTCATTTTTCTATCTATGACAATGGCAGATCAATATTTTTTTACTTCATCTAGCTCTCTTATTGTAAGATCATATTAAAGCGGCCCATTTATTCTTGAGGAGATAAAGCCTTAAATAATGGTAGCTTGATTATAAGGCACGCCATCTATGTTTAAGAAATATAACTATTAGGCACGAATTTGTCTTTTTTAAATATAAAACCAACTTCCTACTCTGTTGACAAGTTTTCTTTTTATTCAAATCTCCCCTACAAGAATGGTATTCTCCACAATTGAAACGTGTGTTAATCATTTATATATTTGCTTTCGTAAAGAAAAATTACAATAGGTATATGTTAGCATGAGAATAAATGAGAATTTTAACTTCTTTCAACAATCCTTCTAATCTCTGCAGCAAGAAAAGCATAAGAACGAAGGAGAAAAGTGTTGTTGTTATTGTCGTGTCCAATGCAGAGCCTCAGATGTCCTCATACATCTCTATCACAGCAGTCGCAATGTCCACATCTTGGGTGTATAAAGCTGCTGCTCTGGGTCCATGTCAATTTTCTGCAAGGCTGCGGCCATTGCTGGGCCTGAGTATATGTGGGTAGGTGTTAGTTCTACACAAGGGCAGTTGTTGCATGTCCTAAAGAAAAGTGCCTTTTTTATTTCAAAAAGGTGTTGTAACACAAACTCTCAAAGCTCTCAGTTCTTCAAGCGTATTGAACCTACAAAATGAACCAACTATCCCATAACAGTGTCTATTCTTATAAACAGAGCTCTAGTGTATTAATACTTGGAGAAATATTAAAAATAACTTTTTTATATCATAAAGAACTTTTTTACTTGATTTAATCTCCTAAATATAGATTAAAATAACACAACAAGTTTCTGGAGATCTGTAGAAGGGCAAAGAAGCCCGAAAGCTTGAAATTGCATTAATAAAAAGAAGCTCATCTTCAGAAAAACCTGTTGTATTATTTGAACATAAGAACGTTTTCAAACAAATGCCACAGGTTTCTAGAGATAGGTTTCTTTTTCTTAATGCAATCTCAAGCTTTCGGGAATCTTTGTCCTTCTATAGGAGTACATAAAAAGTTTATTATTATTCGTTTTATGCACTCTTGTAGAAAAGCAGAAAAGCCTGAAAGCTTGAAATTGCATTAATAAAAAGAAACTTATCTCCATAAACCTGTGGCATTTATTTGATTAATATCCAGGAGATTGAATTGATACGAAGGTTATATTGAAACAAACAAACTTATGTAAAACGATATTTGAAAATTAACCCGCATGTGTTTCTTTTGAACGAAAAATCGAAATTTATTTTAAGGAGAAATAACGATTATTTCTAACCTTAGGGATGAGGTATGAAAGGATGAATTGTGAAGAGTAATGATAAACGGAAAAATAAAGTGTCCAGGGATGGGAATATTTTTTATTTTTCCGTTTATCATTACAATTCCGTTTATCATCTTCATAATTCATCCTTTCATACTTCATCCCTAAGGTTAGAAATAATCGTTATTTCTCCTTGAAATAAATTTCGATTTTTCGTTCAAAAGAAACACATGCGGGATAATTTTCAAATGTCGTTTTACAATCATAAGTCGCATCATATTGTATTATAAATTACAAAGGTTTTATTTATCAAGAAACAATCGTGTTGTTGATAACGTTATTAAATAACAGACCTTGTGCATATAACTGGGAGCGTAGGGAGGTGTTATTTCATCTAATCTCAAACTGGGGAGATAGCCTTCTCAGAAATCCCATTGTTTAGATCCAATATAGGGTGCCACAATAGCCTGTATCACGTGTACTAATGATAATAAAATTTAAAAAAAGGTCGTAATATACCACGTAGAAAATTAGGAAAGACAAACTTCTGGATGACATCGCAATTTATTTAAGAAAAAGAATAAATTAAAGAAAGGTAAAGTGGCAAGTTTACAGAATACCAAAATATAAATATCAAAATTGATAATCTCTTAATAAAATAATAAATATAAAAATTTCTACATAGTTCCTTCACTATAAGGGCTGTAAACCACAGATAGCAAATCTTGTTACTGATATGGATCTGACATGTTTCTTTTATTGATTCCGTTGAAGTCTTAGAAGTTTGACCCTAGTAATTCTTTGCGTCTTTTTTTCTTGCAGCGTGAAGAACGGCTTTGTGTCGTCCTATTGACTATAGGAACAGCGTCTTATTGGATGGAAATCTTGACTTTAACACGGCGGTGGAATCCTGGGGAGAAAAAATGAAGTTCACAGTAGTATGTAGTTCACCTTCGTAGTATTCTTTTCGAGTTAGGTAGTCAAGTATAGGGAGATTTGTCACTCAAGGCATATAACAATCTCTCTCTATTACCTTGTTTATACGTTTTTTTTTTTTTCGTTAGCTGAAGAAGGACTTGTCCAAAAGCTTCTTTAATAAACTCAATCAAAAAGTTGCGGCGTTTTGTACTTATTTTAATTTATCAAATACACAATTCTATTTTGAAAAGAGAGCAATCAATAAAACGATCTCTAATTAAAAATACATATATAGGATCAAATTATAATTTATTTACCAACCTTGTTCAGGGTTTTTACAATATATTAATGTCAACAACAAAATTTGGCGCTGAGTTTTTTTGTTGACATTAATGTGTTGTAGAAACCTTGGAAAAGGTTGGCGTTCAGCCAACTGAAATATTGTTAAATAAATTATATTTTGATCCAATATATGTCTTTTTAATTAAACACACTTCTATGATAAGGAATACTCAAGGCCTAGACGGAATTGAAAGAAATCGAGGGCACCAAGCAGCAACTACAAGATGAGGAATGTACAGTCTGAGAATCAATCGTTAGGCAACGCTAGGAAAGTCCACAGTCGCCACATAACAAGATGCCAGGCGACCACAACCTTGAACCACAATGAAGCTTAAAATTGCCTCAATTTGTGCAGAAAGACGAGTCAACAATGAGCATATTCCCTACTGCGACCTTGGGAGGAGTGTGTCCTTCAAACCTCAATCTATCGCTATAATGCCTAGAGAGATGACTTTCACAGCCAATGCAATTCTGGCAATACTGAGATATGCTGAAATTACTGTCTCAAGGTTGTGCGGATGAATGTACTCAGTCAAATCCTGCCTCAGGTGAGAGCATGAATATGATTGAAATTTGAGGGTTTTTATGAAATATTATCCCAAGTATACTTGGTACAGGTCATGATTATCATTGCGGGTAGTTAGCGACTGATTTTACTGTAAGTGCACCACATATCTACACATGTAGAAAGCAGTTTGACTTTTGAACTCACAGTTATGCCAGAGTCGCGTTTGGTTGGTTACATTCACTGGTGGGGTTGGATTTCTGAAAGAATCTTTGAATGATTGAAATAATTGTTTTCTTTAGAGAGAGGGAAAAAAAACTCCAATGAGGGATTCGATCCAGAGTCGTGACTGCCCTCCACCAACTTCCTCTTGGAATTGAGTAAAACTGCGCAAATATACGGGATATATTGCAATATAAGCATCAATTTATCCACCTAATCCAGTAAAAATTCACTTTTGTGTTTTTTCCATATAGTTTTGCGTTTTCAGGCACTAATGGCTTTAAAAATACACTTTTATTTTTTCAGGAAGTCTCTTGAACCAGATTTTGGTCGTCGAGGTACAGCCTGTACCATGCTGACAAGAGTCAACTGTGTGAAACCCGTTCCTGTCTGCTTCTTCTTGATTTATAAAGAAAGGGTATTTGGGAAATATTATGGAATAATAAAAATTAAAAAAAAAAAAACTAACAATTGATTGATATTTATTCCGACAGATGCCGCAAGTTATCATCAACTTTCAGTTGCACAATCAGAATATGCTTTTTTTTTTCTTAATGGAAACCATGTTGGATGAGTTTGTAACTACCTTTTACTCCAAGTCCACCACACATGTCAACACATGTAGTACGACTTTAGATTTTAACATATGTCCTGTTCCTCTGGTTGGTTAATTCACTCACTTGTAGTGTTAGATTAGTGCAAATCGCGAGGACCACATTGATTATTTATAAAAACTTAAAAAAAAAAAAAAGAGTCTCGAACCTAGATCCCGGTTTACAGAAAAATGCAGTTTGGCCACAGAACCATTACTTCTTAGACACGAGTAGTCGGAACTGATATTTTGGAATAGAAAACAAAAAAAGTGTAAAAATGAAGATAAATATACAATTATGAGAAACCTTAAGAGATTTCAGAACCCATTTCAAAGCATTATACAATCAAAACATATTCTTAACACATAAAAACACATTTACATGCAAAAAACACATTTACATGCAAAAAACACATTTTTACCTATAAAAACACATTTATATGTAGATGCTTGTATATTTAGATGCAAAATGAATTAAGCTGGAAAAACTGCTAGGAAGGTTCACCACAGATCAGCCAGCTTATCGCC